AAGATCATCTCGAATTAAAAGTAGAAAAAAAGGTTTAACAGAATTCACAAAGCTATTAGTCATTTATACATTCATTTAAAACAAAGAAAATGCATGTATTTATATGTTGGCGTGTGAACTCCGAGAAACAAACACTGGGGTAAAATTTGTCCCGCACGTGTACTAATGTAGCGAAGTGATGCACGTGTGCTGAGGTTAAATGTTACAAGACACAATTCAAAGGTTGCCAAAAATTTTTAAATTCAAACAAAAATTATTGATTGCATTTTGTTTTGCTCTGCAACTGAGCTTGCACTTCGAAGACATGATGATGGCGAGCATTCATTAAATCCGGAAGTTTTCAGAGGTCTTATCCACTTCTCAGTAGAACTTGATATATCTCTTAAAGACAACTGTTTTTAAAACAAAAGAAATTCAAAATCAAAAGTCAAAAGAAATTCAAAATGATTTATTGGACTGCATGCTCACTGTTTTTTAGAGCCACATAAAAAATGAGATCTCACAAGCAAGTTTTGATTCAATAATAACAGGTGAAACTACTGATGTGTCATTCATTTTCCAATTGGCTGTTATTTTTCGATATGTTTTAAGCAATGGAAAACTGCTGAAAGATTATGGGAATTTACGAATCCACCTGGCCATGATGCAATATTTACAGATTAATGTATCCAAGCAATTTTGGAAAAATTAGAAGACAAACACGATAAAATAGTATAGCAGAGCTATGATACTACAAGTCTGATGAGTGGTATCACGCTGGTGTTCAAGCGTTTATTCGATGTACCTGCAAGAATGCATAACATTTGCATTGATTGTTGATTGCACATCAGCTCAAATTGATTGTTAGGCAAGCAAACAGACAGAATCAGGAAGTTCGAGTATTTTTCCCCAACCTAACTGACATTACTAACTTTTCATTAACTCGCTACAGAGAATTGCTATTCTAGATGAAATTGTTAGAAAAGGATACTCATGGTTCAGCTACTAGATGGAATTTTAAGAGTCGAACTATCAATACAGTGTACGAATATAGGGAACAGTTGAATGAATGCATGGAAAAAACAGCCAAAATCTAAACATGTCAATGTCTATTTAACCAGCTTCAGATAAACACTAGAGATATCAGAATCATGCGGAACTTTAAAAAAAAACGAAGAGACTGAAAATATTCGCATAAGTAGAACTGTAGTAGCTAAAGACATATGCGATGTCATCACAAATCAAATAAAAGAGAGATTTTGTTTTATTTCTCACTACTCTGCTGTTTCTCTCCTTGAAGCTAAAAAATTCTAGCAGGGGAGAAAAAGTTTCCAACTCAGGTTCTAGACAAAATATTTGATGTATATTCGATGTTATACAAGCATGAGCTGAAAACTGAACTAGCAGTAATTTACAGATCGGATTCCAGAGATATGACTGCTGCCATTAGTGTTCGACAATTTATTACAGAATACAACTCATGAAGTACGTTTTCGGTTTAGATTTTAGATAACTCTAAAATGAGTAAGAAATGTTTAAGAAGCACTATGAGCGAGAACAGACTAAGTGTCTCTCACTTGAAAAAAGCACGATAAATGACATACCTAAGTCCAGCAAAAACATTATTAATTTATCTATTAAAAAAACGGGGAAAAGAAGAAGAGAGAGAGAGACATACACACAAGACAAGTGGATATAATTTACAAAAATCATGCTTGACTATTTTGTAATCAAACTAAAAACTACACTATAAGCAATATTATGGTTTTATTACATTCAATTCTAAGAAATATTTTTTTTTTTTTTTTTTTTTTAAACTTATGCGAATTTGTTTCCTTTTAAATGCCCTATTTTCCTTTAACTTGTGAAAACGCAAATGTGTTTTAACTTGTAAGTTATGTGGTATCTGCACATTTAGTTTTTAAAATTTGTTTTGTGAACCTCCATTTAAATAATCCCTAAGCTGCCACAGACTCAATATAATTTTATTTCTGGACAAGGTAATTCTTGAGATGCATATTCTGATTTACATACACGCAAAATGTACCCCCACAGTTTTGGAAGCTTAGCACATCCTCAGTCAATGGATGATATAGGGAACTAAGATAGGCATGTTAGTTTGAAGCAAACATGTGGGAAAAGCACGACACATTCAGAAGAGGGTTGGGAAAGTATCCAAAAATTTTGGTTTCAATTGAAATCTTGTACAGTAACTGGCTAAAAAGTATCAACATTCTAATGTTACATAACATCATAAGATGCAGTTTAGATTCATTTTTCATAAATAGTTACTATTTTTAGGACAGAAGGGGGAAACCCAAATTAAAGTGAAGAATATAAGGAGCTTTAGCCCACCAGCCGAGCGGTAAAAGCCACTGAACACTGGTAGTTCGGTCCGGAGTTCGAGTCCTGCCAAACGGGCTGGCTGCATGGGCGCTTTCGTGGTTTTCCCCATGTGTAATGTGGATACAAGCCAGTTTCCCTTAAAAAGACCTCCACGGGGCATTCCTCCCTTTCCGTGTAGTGCCTAAGGGCGGAGCACGTAGTAAGCAAAAAAAGAAAAAAAAAAAAGAATATAAAGAGCTTTTGCCAATTAAAATTAGAAATTTGCTTTCATATATTTTTTTAAAAATCTAACATATATATATATAATCTAATATGGTAACACAAGAAGTTATTCAGTTAACAAAGCCTCTCTCAGCCATTTTTTGCCCCATGCAGCACTTTACCATTCCTAGATGATCACCCCCTTCCTTTCTAAAACTTGAAAAAAACACATACACATTTAAATTTAAGATTTTTTTTCTTACATGTTTTGTAAAGTAAACAAGAAAATGTATAGAAAATGTTGCTAAATGTCAAAACTTGAAAAGTAGTTTTTTTTATATTGATATACTAAAACTAAATCCTTAACAGGCAAATAAAAGTGTACAACAGGTAAATCAAATTTCATTCTCCCTGGCTGAGAATCTCCAAGTTAATAACAGTAAAAACAAAATGACAGTGAAATCTCTCCATGATGAAATACTATGATTGAGGACTTACTTCTGCGAGACCAGTGCTCCAAACCTCCAAAAGTATTTAAAATACATCAAATTTTATATATTTTTTCAATTGTGGGTTTTTAAAAATGTGATCTAAAACAGAAATAAAATGCTAAACTTTTTAGTATAGTTTCATTTATTTTAAAATCAGCCACTAGGGCCTTTGTCTCTCATCTTGTTGACTAGTGATATCTTTTAGTAAAACTTCAAAATGTATTTTATGCTAACTTGTATGGTCATCACTGTTGTATGCAATACGTAGTCAAGAGTGTCAGACAGCACCTTGCTCTCTATTGACCTTGAGAAAGATCAGATTAAAATGAAACTAAATGTTACATAAACTTGTAGAGACATTAGGTATATTTTTGGTAGCAGGAAAGATGAAAAAATGAGCAATCACCTTCGACGGGAATCGAACCCCGGCCCAGCGTGCAGAACCGCTACACCACGAAGGCATACTAAAAAGGTGAGGGAAATACCTTATATTTTTATATACTCCCCCTTTTAAAGGGCGACTGGGGTTTTTAGGGGCCCAATCGCCAAATCCTGGTTGAGGAGAATCATCATCCAACACCCTCTTAGTTCGGCTGCCACTGTAGAGACATAAGGTATTTTTTGGAAGCAGAAAACATGAAAAATTAGCTACTGGCTTCGCCCGGAAACGAAACACGGACCCCTGAAATACTGGCTCAGTGTGCTGACCCACTACATCACGCTAGGAAGGTGGGAGAAATACCTTATAAACTGATATAAATTTAAACTTTTGATGAGGTAATTGGAAGATTTAACTTTAAGTTCCTTCATGAAATATAATTTACAGTGACATTTACTTCAATGAAAAATATTAGATGGGAGTAGGAAGGAGAAAGGGCCACTGTAACAGATTTTGCTCAGTTTTGTAAACTGGACCCTGCCTATAGTTCCAGATATAATTTTGATCTTTTTCAGAGACTGTTGCTTTAGAGAGCTGATATTCAATACAGAAATCTGTTTATATTCTCAAAAATAGTCTTTCAAAATTAGTTATTCAGTAGCCATGATCACTATCAGAAGTTCTATACACAACACACACACACAGCATGCTTAAAAAAGACAACATGACTAAATAAATAGCTTTGGAATGACTGCTTCTATTCAAGATATCAAGAGAAATTCTGTGGGACCATACTCAAATATTGCTAAAGATAGCTATGCATATTAAGTTTTTGAATGTAAATTTATAAAAAGAATCTGCGTCAAGAAAATCTTAATTTGAAGTATTAGTTTTAAAATACTGTTTATAAGAATTTTAAAACTTCAAATATTTATATTTATCAAAATTTAGTTTTAATACAACCTCAGCCTGTGATTTTTCTCACATTTATTTTTGCTGAATGTACATAATAAATCCTTCAGAATAGATTTTGCATATTAATAAAATAAAAATAATTCTATACAATAATATCCATTGCAATAAGTCATTCACATATAAGTATTACTTGCCATACTTCCATATGGATGGCTTATGTGGAACTTACTGATACATGACACAGGGAAACAATCAAAAAGAGTATAGAGAGATGAAAGCTATATTTTGTAATAATTATGATGTGACTTAACATACTATAATAAACACACCTTTAATAAAATTCTGGTTATCTACTTCAACTAATATTCATTGTTTATATCTGCTCTAACCCACAAAAAATAACTTGGACTGTATTCTCCTCAGGAAACAAGGTACATAGCTGCATTTCATGTCTTTCAAGTTAATTATTAACAAACCCAAATACACAAAAAGTGATTTCTACACAATTAAACCTACACTATTAAATTCTACATATTTCCTCAATCAAACCTACAGAACTGTTTGTACAACGGCACTGCCATATCTTGTTTGAAAAAAGGGGGATTGAACTCCAATGCACTATTCAAACTTTGTAAATTTTTATTTTTTAGTTACAACAAAATTAACCAGAAAATTTAAATTAAACTCACCTTAATTTTTTACATCTACAACAGGTATTTGAACATTCACAGGAATAGCATATTCATATCCACCCTTTGAAGCCATCTGGTGCTGAAGGGAATTGAGCTATAAAATGAAATTTTATTATTCAAGATAAAAATAAATGGAATTAATACAAAGTTAGGCCAGACAAAATGCTTCCCCCCAAAAAAGTATTATGATGACATAATACAAGTCAATGACTACAATTGGTTTATAACAAATAGAAAAGGATATCTTGCATTTCTTGAAAGAAATATACAATGCTTATACGTATCAACAGGAATATTAAATACACAAATTTTTAACAATTAAATAACTACAATGTTAAATGAGATCTGGCTGTTGTTTACAGTTTTTAACTATTAATAAATTATTTATATAATTAATTCAAACAATTAAGTATGCAAAACAGATGGCTCTCACATTTTTTACCTAATTAATTAACTAGCTTAGTTGAGTACACTCAATTTATCTTCTGCAACAAAAACAGTGCAACAAAGTTCAAATTTCATACTACAAAGACTAAACATAAAAATTGCATATTACTAATAAATTTATGTATTGCAAGCATGATTTCCACTTATATAAGCTATTTAAAATAATATTGTTATGAAATGCCCAAGCCACGTAAGATAGCTTCCCAGCAAAGCATGTTTAGAGTTGCCACAAAATGGCAAGAGAAGACAGGGTTGCCACATTTTGTGAGAAATCGTCCATTCGGTGATATTTGGTGACAAAATTGCCGATATGCCATAAACGGATGGAGAACCTTCTGGAACGAATTCTTACTGGTTTAGCCCAGAATGTTCTCGAACACAAGCCAAAAGCTATATAAACTCTGCTGGTATGCGGAGAGTCAGTCATTTAGTTAATTAGAGTCCATGGAGTTGATAGTCAGTCGGTGAGTGCTGAGTTGGTCGTCAAGTGCACCAAAAGAGTCTCTTAGTGTATTGCAAGTTAGTGCATCGTCAAGTTTGATCTTAGAGTGTGTTGAGCTCCGGGAATGAGTGAACCAAGGAATCAAAAGCTGTAATCTAGTGCAGCGGTCGCCAACTGGCGGTCCGTAATAACTTTTTGCTGGTCCACAGAAAAATTGAGACATTATTTATATTTTTATGAAGATTCAGTTTAAAAAATGATGAGTAACAAAACCTAATATAAATTATACTTTTATTAAAAAAATTAGCTACTACTTTTAGCAAAATTCCTTCTGAATTTTGAAAGTGAGAGTTGGCAACCATGGATATGCTGCTGTTAACAATAGTAGCGCGAACTGGAATTCTCTTTCCTTTTGAATTACAAACATATGCTACTGTAGTTGTTAATAACACAGTTTTTCTCCATGTCAATAGGAAACTTGATGGATTTTTATGACAACCATCTGCATTCTTGTTTATAATTGCATCAATGGAAGTTTCCATTTTTGTTTTGTCCAACTGTTGACTGATGGCTCCATTGCTGAGTAAGGGATGACTATTATGTTTACAATAATTAAAAGTTGGCAAAATAACACTATCAGTTTATTGATATTGCTTTGCTTTTGCTGATTTGTTCTTGCTTTTTGCGAAGTTCCTTTTCAGTGATATAGAAATGTGAAGCTTTCTGTACAAGAAGGGTAAGATTTTTGTACTTTTCATGCAATTTTTCAATGTGAACAAAATACGTGTAGTTTGCTTATTATTATATAAATGTATTTACCTTTTTTAATTCGTCTTAGTGGTCTGCCAAATTTAAAATTATATATGTAGCGGTCCGTGAAGTTCTAACGGTTGACGACTACTGCTCTAGTGTATCGTCGAGTGCATCGCGAGTTACAATGTGGAGAGTCTCCAAAGTAGAGAGGATTTCGAGAACGACCGAGCAGAGTCAAGAGCTGTACTCTGGTACTTTGCCGTGAAGCTGTCATCACCGTAATAGCCTAATAACCCGAAGGCTGTGTCGCTGATCATTTCAGAGTATTTACAGTAGATCTTCGATGACTGTAAACATGTTATTCGAGCTATCTTGAATAATAAAGCTAATAAAGCGTGTTTCCATTCTCCATCAAGTGCTATTGTCATTATTCACTCCAAAGCCATGAACACCTTATGTACCATACATAAGAAAACAAACGTAACAATATAATAAATTACATTTAAAGCTTAATTGCTCATGTTTCTAATAGCATTCATCAAATTTTTGGAGAGATAACATTTTAACTCAGTATCAAAATCTTAACCAATTGTATTAAAGAGGGAAAACAAAACTATACTGTGTATAATTAAATATTCATTAATAAAACTAGTACAGATAAGTCAAAGCATACAAATATATTTAGTGCTGAAACAGATAGTATATGCCCAATGAATGATTTACACGTATAGCATAATAAAACATATGCCTTATATACAAACAGGTATTAAATACTTAAAAAAAAAAAAAAAAAAAAAAAAACACCCCACATCAAACTTTAACATTTAGCATGAAAAATAAAAATTTACATTTCAAAAACAACAACACCTCAGTTAATACACAATTGCTACCTACATGGACATTCATATCTCCTGATCCTACGTGAGCAGTATGCCTGAAATTAGTAGGGCTACCGATCATAGATCTGTCAATTCTATGCCGCCTCTTCTAGGAAATAAATAGATAATTTAAAATTCAAAATTAGTGTTAAAATAATTATTTTATATAAGTGTCGTATAATTTAGTTCACACAAATATTCTTTTATCAATCCACAATGCAGAAATGTATTACAAATTAAGGCTGTTTAATTTTATACTTTTGTACAAAATGTTACTCTTACAATTAAATTAGCAACATAGACAATTTCAATGATATGCATTAGCATTCAATCAAAGTGAATTATTTTTTACATTAATGTTGAAGTACTTTCATTTTATGGATAGCTTCTGTTCATAAATACAGTATAAAGTCTGTAATCCAGACGTCCATTATCCAGAATGATCTATAATCCGGACCTCAAAACCACAAACCTTTTTTTAACGCATATGCGTAATGCATGCACGTTTAGCACAAAAAAAATGAAGCAACTTAAACAACTTACATTGAAAGAAATGTTTAATAAAGTAAACAAATAAATATTAAACTTTTTTTTTTTTTCTTTTTTTTTTGGCAAATTTTGACACCCTTTAGATCACATAATAGCTCTTAATTTTATAAAGTACAGTTTCATATTTTTTAATTGTATAATTTCTGCATGCCATCTTACCAGATTTAAATTGATGATCTATAATCCGAAAAAACCCTTAATCCGGAATCGCCGAAGTCCCGACGAGTCCGGATTATGGACTTTGTACTGTAATAACAAAAAGCACCTTTTAGAAAACAACAGTTTTTAACAGTAAAAGAAAAAATTTCATAGCCAATATTAACAGCCAGCGAATAATGTTCAGCAATAATGGTGAATACAAAGCATGTAACTCCAAATAAACAGGTTCATGATATGTGCTCATGTAGATTGGCTTCTATCATATAAACTCAAAAAATATGCCATAACAAGGCAATTCTTTCCAATGCTAGAAGTGGGAATGCAGATAATAAGAAAGCTTCATATATTTTCAAACATGTATTGGGCTAGTAAAGTAAAATGTTAATTATAAAAGGGAATTTTTTTTGACTGTGACAGATGTAAAATACAGTCGACTTCTTTGTCACACAACTGTCCCAGGATTAAGAACTGAAAATAAATAACAAATAAACTTTCTGTTTACATTTGAGAGCCTCTAGAAATGTTTACTTTACTTGTTATGAAACTTATTTCAACAATAATTTTTTTCATTAACTCCTTAAGAGATAAAGTTGTTTTCCTAGATATGAAGTATTAGCACACATTTTTAATGCTATTCCCCCTTCTTTTTACACTATTTTGCAAAACTTCCAAAGTGAAAGAATTATTCGAATGCCATACACAGTTTGTTTGAAACCATTTTCACAGAAAGGTTTTTCAGTATACCCCCGATGTATGTGCTAATTAACATGTTTAATTTTTTTCATTCCTTATGCTGATATCTTATTTTTTACATTCTCATTTTCAGTTGCTATAATGCCAAAAATTGAAAAATATAAATTAAAAAATCTGATGTGTACACCACATGACTTCCTTGTACGGAATACGAAATTATAATTATTTTTTATTGCATTTCATTTAAACTTATTGGATTTAATTAAATCTACTTCGCCGACAGCACATAAACCGCAATTTAAACCGTAATTTATGAAATAAAGAACAATTATGATCTAAAGGGTATCAAAATTTACAAAAAAAAAAAAAAAGCTTAATATTTATTTGTTTACTTTATTAAATATTTCTTTCAATGTAAGTTGTTTAAGTTGCTACGTTTTATGTGATAATACTTTCTCTTTAATTCTATAAACAGACATAATTTCATGTTCAGTTACAAAGCTCCGCTGTTCAATTCCCATAATTGCTGTACCAAGAATACCGAGTAACTTGTCAATCGAAATTTTTTCGTTTTCACTAACCTCTCTCTCTGTCACCTTCTTCATGTCTTTATCCATTTTTTGAAACAATTCCACTTTTTGTTTGATGGACGTCGAAACATACTTTTGTTTTGTAGATCCTTTGGGAGCTCCAGCATCGGAAATTCTATTTGACATAATCGAAAGTTCAAGTTTACTTTTATAAAATTGCTCTTACAGTCTGCAAAAAATAATAAGCCATATCCAATTCGAAGATTAAGGAACAACACAATCATCAGCATTAACTGAAATGGATAATTAGATAATTTTAGCTTATACCGTCCGTTATACACATAAAACATGCATGCGAAAACGTATTCTGCGGTTGCCCACACGCATATGCGCAGTCGTAAAGGTCTTGCTTGCATGCGTAAACGCATATGCATGTGCGTCAACGCGGCACATACGCAGAAAGTTTTTAGCTTTGTGGTCTGGATTATAGATCATTCCGGATTATGGGTGTCCGAATTAACGACTTTTGACTGTACTTCAGGTGAAATGAATTTACTTTTTTAAGTCTGAAACTTTTCATAAGTACTTTTCAAGGAATATGTTGCCAAATCAAAAAAGATAAATAAGATTTAATAAAACTTAAGATTAATGATGCAATAAACTGGTGACAAATAAAATAACACTTGTTTCCCTAAAGTTTTCTTTTAAAATGTTTAATTTTAGAGCTTATGTAGAATAAACCATGACAATGAAAACATGTCAGATGACTGATAAGAACATCTGGTAAAGAAGCCATCAATTCTCTTTATTCCAAAAGTCAAAGGGTAACTGAGTTCAGCTAACCAATAATTAGAATATCTGTCTTCATTTATATTAGACTCAAAATGTTACTAAAAGTATCAATTAAGTGAAGTAAAATCCAAGATAATAAATGTGTTTCACAGTATTTATTTACTATTAGAGGAAAATATATATATAATATATATATATATATATATATACATGCAAGTTTAAAATAAGACTCAGGATATGGAATGATATTTTACTGTTTTCAGATACTTTTAAAAATAAATAATCTCTGAGTGAAGTATTTTATACAGGCAAAATGCAGCCAAGTATTTTGGTCAAGCAGCATCTAAATTTCTTTCTAATGAATGTTTTTTAGAAGTGAAACATTATATAATAATAAGGCACAGAACCATATTTTTATTTTGCCTCGTTACTTTTGTGGAAATTTTATAAATACAAAGCTTCATAAGCCTAGCTGATTTATATACAAAAAATTCCTAAAATGTTAACTGCATTGAGCACCTAAAGGATTTTTATGCCTCATCATAAAAGCTCATATTTTAAAATGTCCCAAGGCATTATATAATTTTCTTTTAACTTGAATTCCATTTATTTAAGTTTGAAATAACCCTGATAAAGCCTTTTCAACAAAACTTAATTTCCTTTTATGACATAAAGATTCAACTTATATAAAAATTTAAGCAAATTTCTTAGTATAAGTATATATATAAGCTAAAATAGCAAAAGCAACTTCTGATAATCAAATGTGACAGAATTAAGTAATACTGAGGGTTAAAAGGGACTAATTAATGGTAAATGATATTAAGTCAAGTTCCATTAATTAATACACATTACTTCACTAAAGTACTGACAGAAAGTTTACTGTTAAAAGATTCTAATTTTCAGCTCATGTAGGTGATCAGTTAACAACAAAAACAAATAATCAATTCCAGCTTCTTTTAAAATTACAATAATAAATCAAGAAATGAAAGGAACTGTAACTAATGGCAGGATGCTGTAGAATTAATATTTAATATATCTATAAAATCACCAAAAATGTTTAAGCACAGAACAAAGAGCTAGAAATAAATTTAAAAAAAAAAAAAAAAGTTGTAAAAGGTTTAAAGGACTACAAATAGCTATGTATTTAATAGAAGGAATGGAGTTCTGATTGCTATTTTTCACTTATTTTCAGCTGTTGAGGATACTAAAGTTCCGCAACAGGAAGCAAGCCGGAAGTTTCTACTTACAGGAGGTGGCTCATCGGTTACGCAACATGAAAAACACTGTATCCAAATCTCGCTCATTCTGCCGCCAAAATGGTGAGGGCGGGGTCGCCTCCCTCCCTCCGCCAATGGTCTCAGCTTTCCTCTTTTGCGTCTGACCTGCAAAAGAAATGATCAACAATGAGTCATTCATTCATTCATTCTCATTGCCACCCTCCCGGAAATAATATTGTGTGCAGGAAAAAAAAAGACGCAGATGGTTAACTCGGGAAATTTTCAGCCAAGTGAACTGCAAATGATAAGTAATTACGGACTTGAAGGGTACTTCATAAATGAATCTCTTTCATTGTATTCAACAAATGTCAACTTCTCGGTACATTTCCAAAAAAAGTAACAGTAAATCGTTTTCAAAAATATTTTTAGCAGGCATTTTTGCATTCACATAGTATTATAATCCATAGATGCCAACCTTGAAATCTTAAAAACTGGGAGATTTTTTGCACGGAAATCGGCAGGTCTAACGCAGCGCGGTGACATCCCAAACTGAATTCATTTACTATGTATAGTACAGGTTACTGAACTATTCATAGTTAATTCTAATGTGAAATATTGGAATGTGAAATATAATAAATAATATATTTAATTGGATATTCTTTGACTAATTTCATTTTTTAATTTTCTTACACCAGGGGTGATTGCGACTCCATTTAAAAAATCCTGAAAATTATTGTTCCATAAAAATCACAGTATTCAAATGGAACACGTAATAATTTTATAATAAATAAATTTAACAAATTATTTTAAACGATTTAACAAGTTGGCAAAAAAGCATAAGTTTTTTAAAACATTAAAAAAAATAATTACAAAGTTAAGCTTGCTTTTGAAAGGAGAAGGTTACTTTTGGAGAATTTTGCATTAATATTTTTCTTTTCTAAAAATTATAATTCAATACAATCAGCAAAACATTTTGATACAGCCAATGGCTTTTAACCTTTTAAGCCAGGGATGGCCAACCAATGGCACGGCGAAGTTTTAACAGTAGCGCGCAAAGACTTCTAAAAATTTTTTTTAATTTGGAAAAGTAATAATATTGTCTATATAAAACTCGTTGATAGATACACACATAAACATATTAGAATAAACATAATAATTCAGTTTCTCTGCAAGACGTTAATTGGTACCCAACTGAAATCCAAATCGAAACTATTGAGTTACAGCAGCATACCAGACAAGCAAATATAAGGAACTTATTTCAACTGCAAGTGATTCAAATTATATTAAATTTTGGAAACTTTTTGAACACGCGATTTTCCAAATTTACACGATTAGGCTGTCAAATATTGTTGTAGATTTGAATCAACATAAGTTTGTGGCGGTCAAAATAGATATTTTCGTTGAAATATGCTGCCTGAAACTTTTCGAGATTACAATACTTCCTTTTTACTTCGTAGAAGGAAGTAAAAACGACACATCGAATCAACAATTCTTGTCAGCACAGGATACGGGTAAGGCAAATGAGGAACTTACCTCAAGTGAACAGCTAAGAGGGGTGCCAAATTAGCTGCGAAATTTTAGGAATGCATTTAAAAAGTAAATTATGATTATAAGCTTTCGGTTTTAAAACGTATCAAGAAGACCATTTTGAAGCACATTTTAAACAATAAAAAGAAGGTGATATATTCTTCAGCACTTGCATATAAAAATTCCGCGCTTAATACAGAGATTGATCTAATATCGAATCCTAACTAATGAGTTAGCAGCATGCAAGATTTAGTGGTTTCTCCTATGTGCAATGTAAATATGAGCCAGTTTCCGCTAGAAAGTTCTCCACGAAGGAATCCATTTACTTAGATGACGGAATGTCTACTTAGACAAATAGTCCTTGCATGTTTTACATATTTAATTAAACAAATATAATAGAAAGAATATCTCTTTCTTTACGAAAAAAAATGAGAGAAAATATTCTTGCAAAATGTGAAAATTCAACTTTAAAGGTAAATTTATCAACAGAATATGACAAGAAACGAAAAAGAAATATTTATAAATAAGATTGTCAATAATCAATTGATAAAAGAACTAATTTTGTCAAAAAATATTTTTTCACAGTAAAAGTGAAAGAAACGAGAGAGATTTTAATGTCAGAAATAAATACAGGTATTAGAAAATAAACATGATAACTTGCGATTTATAGTTTCTAGCTCATGAAAAATTAATGTGATTTGATTGAGTATTTTGAAAATGAGCAGCTTAGTATTTAAATGCCCACTTGATAAAAATGCTTCGGATATTCCATCCAAAATATCTTGTTTTAAAAACCCTGCTATCTCAATAATTCTGGTAGCTAAAGCAAAATCAAGTCCTTTAAAGATAATTCAGGAATGCAGTTTAGTTCAGTCATATCAGAAGTTCTAAAACTGCGTTAAGAATATTTTCAACGATTCCATTTGCTAATGTTTTTAGGGTGAAAAAAATTACCCTTCTCCTCCCCCCCCCAAAAAAAACGTTCAAATATCACTGTGTAGAAACAAAAATAATGAAGTAGATTTTGAAATTATAGTATTATTTAGATTTAAATATTTTTTGCTATTTTTTGAAAAAAATTGCTTTCATTTACAAATTCTAAATTATTATAAGTATTAATTTTCTGAAAACAGAATAGTTATTATAAATATACAAGTTATAGTATGATTCTGTATAATTACGTTTATTGAATATAGACGTGCACAGGCATAGTTAATTTCATTGCATAGAGGAGTGCGAACGTCAGGCGAAAAAATGATATCAGACAATTTTTAAACAAACTAAATTCCGAATACCGATATCACACATATCGCCGCCTTTTCTGAAAACAGAAATCGAAAAGGAAAGGAATCCCAGCAGTTTTGAAAATGCTGTACCACTTATGGCGAAGGTCATATTCCCCTTCTTAGAGTCGAGAAAAACATTTGAGTTTTCCAGAATTCCGCTCTTATCATGAAGCGTCAATGCGTCGCACACAAAACAGTTCATTCATCAAAATACGTATCTTGTCCGAGAATGTCAGAGCCAGAAGATAAAAATCCGCATGAAACTCCTACTAGGAACAGTGCTTTTCCTTTTGGGAAATCTCGTTATAGTAAATTTACGCGAGTTTATTCGTGAACGCCTCCAGAATTGCGAAATCACGGTGGTCAGTTTGAAAGTTACGGGGAAACTAAATGACTCAATATTTCAATCAAGAGACAACATTGAAGCAAAAGAAATAGTCACATAAAAGGATAGTACAACCATTAGAAAGATAAGGAGATTGTTTGAAATCGGATAAGAATAGTTACAGAGAAACGAAAACTTAATAAAACATACAAATACATAACGGCTTTATACAACAGAAAGTTGCTTTTAACTACACTTGACTTTTTTAACAATATTCTAATAGCTAAATTTTTAAAAGACAGTATTTAGTTAAGATTCATGCATAAAAAATGGTTACAATCATTTTTGTAAATCTAATTCGACAGTAAATCAGATCAAGAAGTTAGCTAAACAACAATTAAAGAATTCAAATTCTCTTTTATTTTTTCTTTCCTTTTAAAGCTAAATTAAAAAAATCTGATGTCTACACCACATAACTTCCTTGTACGGAATATTAAATTATACACATTTTTTCTTGCATTTCATTTAACTTATTGGATTGAATAAATCACTTCGCCGACAGCGCATAACCACAATAGAATAAATGCATCTTTAAAATTCACTCTAGTATTTGTTTTACCACAGCGACACTCTGGCGCTAGATTCACTTAACGTATTATATTTCGTTCATATTAACTCATAATGCACAAAATTTACATCATTTAAAGAATAATTATCTAATCGTTGCCACATGTTCTATTCAAATACTATAAATAAAGCTAGAACGATGTAAAAAGAAATTAAGCAAACAAACAAACAAAAGTTTTCACAACGATTCAGTATTTTTTCATTCAATTAATTCAGTTCTCACTTCGCGAGAAGGCAAAAAAACTACTAAAAACTCAAAATAATCTATATTAAAAATTACGAAGTAATCTTAACACTTATTTCCTCGAAAAAATTCCAGAAAGAATTAAGCATGATTTAATTGGAATAATAAATGAATGCGTTATCTTTGTTGTTGCGAAGATACGTTTCTCTAGATTGCAACAATCCCTAGTCTGCTGTTTCAATGTAACAACAATGGCCGCATCAAGAAAGGATTAGGCTTACGGCACTTAAACAACTTTAAAATTGTTGATAATTCTAAAATATTACATACAGATTTACTGAAGCATAAAAACCTAACCGGAAGATAAAAACAACATAAGTCAATCATTTTTAAGCAAAAAATGTACAATTTACAACATATGAGGTAAGAAACTGAGAGGGGAAGAACTGAGATCACTGGCGTAACAGAATGGATATAGATAAATATATTTATATACGTTTGGTGCGGCCGATTGCAACCAAAATACGAGGTGCACATCTACTGTTTAAGCAGTCCTAATACAAAATTCAACGTTCTGAGCACTCGTTTTTGAGTTATGCGAGATACGTACAGCCGCCGCGAAATATTCTCTTCAGAATTCATTTAAAGCAGTTTTAACTTTTTGGAGAAAAGAGTCTTTTATTCTGTCCTTAAGTACAGATATCACGCAAAAACATCGTTAAATTGCATTGGATAGCGGTCAAATGGATATTTTCGTTGAAATATGCTGCCTGAAACTTTTCGCGATTACAATACTTCCTTTTTACTTCGTACAAAGAAGTAAAAGTTCTTTGTCACCAAAATAAATTATTATTACACAATATTTGTCACCAAAAGTAAGAGTGAATTTTTAATCATAGATTAGATGATTAATCTGTTAAGAAAAAGCAAACAAAGCCTGCCTTCGTGGATCTCTCTATATAGCAAACACGTTCGTATTTATATTACGCACGAGGGGGTCGAAAGCGCTCAGCTAGCCCACTCGCTGGAATCTGGATTCGAGTCGAACTACTCATATTCATCGGTTTTAATCACTCTGCTATTAATAAGCTGCTACACTCGTAGAACTCGACAACCTCAACTGTAAAGCATTATAGCAAACATATGCCCTACGGAACAAAAGCAACATTTTTACATGAAGTTTTTAATTGACAATAACTATCTAAAAGAAACTGAA